GCTTAACTAAAAAACAGAAGAACAGATTCAGCAGTTCGTATTTTTACTGCATAAGGAAGTATAAGAGGAGTATTTGTACATCAACACAGGTCAAACTGACAAGTTCAAGTCATGAGACGCTGTCATCAAACGTTAAAAAAGACGCTGATCATTACATCTTCTGTGAAAATCTCTTTACTGAGAAGTATTACACCTATCTTAATAAGCATACAAACTCTGCTGAGGTTAAGCAGATTCTTATACTCCTTTGTCCTAGAATTTGAAGAGGTGGAAAAACTATTATCCAAAAATCACTGCTCTTATTTAAAGATATGTGGCTGAAAGGATCTATTAAGCTTATAATCACAGGGATAATTAGTTGACCAAGCTTTCTATATTTTGAAAAGATTACTACTGACAGCCCTTTTCCATTGTTTTACCTTTGTTGAAAGCACTTTAAATGTGCTCTGTTCCGGTATCACAGGATGAAGAAGTGTCAGCTTCAGATTGTAATCCTCTCCAGAAGGAAGTTTCACCACAGCAGACAACTAATGAACACAAAATTAGCAGCACTTCTTAAAAATTTATTTAACGAAGGGTAGAACACTTGAACTGAATCTTATTACAGAACTTCAATCTGCTGATTATTTTTAAAACATAACATGGAATATCAGACTTAAGAATCTCAAAATGATCCTTTTAAAAAAATTTGGTATCCTTCACATGAATTCTCATATACATAATTAAATAGCAGAACGGTGTATTTTTCATAACACATATTTAAGATTTAAATCTTAAGGAAACTCAAAAAAGTACAACAGCAAAATGATACAGTATGTAAAAAAAGAATTCATGTGTAAAGCATCTGGTTTTACCACAAACTCGCTTAAACATCTATCACCAGGCTTCCTACTACGTGCTAAGAAATCAAGTTACTAAAAGTCATACTCTTCTTATTTCACTGATTTCTGTTCTTACTTTTATAATTTCCTATCATATGTCTACTTTTGGTTTAAATCGCTATTCTTTCTTCTATCTTCCTCATATAAAGTACTAAAAAATTTGACTCCAAGCTTTCTTGAATGGTCATATATACGTTAAAATCTTAAAATTTCCTTCTAAACAACTGTATCAATCAAATTTTACTGAGCTGTATCATCATCATTATACTTTTAAAAATATTTCCCATTTCCATTTTTTCTTTGATGTTTGAGTTGAATGGTACTAATTAATTTACAGCCATATGACGTTCTTTTTATTTAAAGTTCTGTAGCTTATTTTTATCTTACATCTACTGATTTTTCATCTTTTAAATGTATCATCAGCAGTAAACTGAACAATAAACCAAATTTAAAGTCTAATGCCAGCATTTGTGATAGAATTTCAATATTTTTCTCCTCAAAGTGAAATTCACATGAATAAAATGTACTAAAGCCCTTAATCCAAAAAAAAAACATACTTATTTAATATGGTTAGCAAATTCTAAGATGTGTAAGTTACAACATGTAAGTAGACTTTTTTCATGAGGTTACCACACAAATGTAACCAAATCACATATCTTACTAATTATCTTTTATATCTATCAACCAAGTTCTGCTTTGAATTCCAAATTAAAAAAAAAAAGGACACAATGCATATTTAGCTATAGCCTGCAGGATACATATCCTTGTCTCAAAACTTAAAATGATTCAAATTAAAAAGCAATGCTTTAGATTTTCATCAGCATTTTCCACATTTTCTCAGGAAAACATGATATATAACTGATAGGCTGCTATAGATTATCTGCAACATATATTTATATTTACAAATAAAAGTATTTAATCTTAACAAAAAATAATTCAAAACTGTAATGACCTCTTTTTCTGAAAATTCCACATTTACATCATTCTTCTGAACATTCTTGATCATAAGTGTAATGATTACTTGAGATTCTGTTTGATACCAGTCATACCTATTAAAAGAAAAAGAAAACTTAGAACTAATTTTCTTCAAGTTGTTGCTTCTTTGTTTTGTCAAGATAAAAACAATAATCTGATGAACAACAAGAGCTCCACCTTGAGGAACAAAATAGTAGAGCAGCTGCTGATTCTCAGAAACAATCTGATGTAACTAATTTCACGATCCGTACTAATGGAAGACAAAAGGCAGATGATGCCCCAAATCCCTCCAGTGGATTTAAATACTTACATGATTTTCTAGGTTCTGACATATCTCTAACACTGCTGTGCTTAAGCTGACATTAAAGATAAAATCTGAGGGAGGATATATATAGCTCAGTGGTAGAGTGTATGCTTAACATGCATGCTTAAGGTCCTAGTTTCAATTCCCAGCACCACCATTAGAAAAAAAAACCCCAACCAATCAATCAATAAACCTAGTTAACCCCCCCAAAAAGATTTAAAAAAAAGAAAAAAATTTTTTAAAAGGTAAAATTTATTCTCAACAGGTTAACAGCTCCAATACACCATCAGTAGCTTTACACTCTCATTTCAACCTAATGCTGAGAAGTAAAACTTCTATCCCTATTTTACAAATGAAAACAGTGTAAGCTTAGAAGGGCGAAGCAATCGGCAAGTCAGGAGCAGGTGTTGTTACACTTCTCTGACCCCACACTCCAGGATCTCTTTACTGAAACTGGGGGGTAAACAGCCCTGCGCACAGGGAGCAGAAGTAAGTGAGCAAAAATTAAAATAACTGAACTCATTCTGCCAGACACAACATTGAATAGCGTCTTCTTTCAGTCTCAAAGTATGTGGAAAGATTAGTGTGGCTAGATATTCTAATTATGTGTATCTTTCCCTCTAAAAGCTCTAAAAATGTAGGAATCCTCACTTTCAAATTAGACCAGATTATAAACTCCATGACAGCAGATCTATGTATCTATACTGCAACTATTACATTGCCAGGACTAAGCACAGTGCCTGATACAGGGAATGCTTATTAAATCAATGTTGGATTATTTTATGCTCCAACACCCTAATTATTATTTAAGTTTATGTGTTCTATCCCTGCCACCAAACTAAAGTAGCTAGTTACTTGGAGAGTTATCCTGTATCTCCCCAGGAAGAACATGAATAAATTGTTTTAACATTTCCAAGCCACTTTAGGTAATTATGTCAAAAGCATCTCATCTTTAAGAGTCTCACAGTTTCCCTTTGAAATTCAGTGAGGATGCAAAGTTCAAGATCAATGCTTTTTCTTTCTGTTATAGTCCCAGGAATACAATGGCTAATGTACAACTATAAATAAAATCAAATACTTGCTAAATATTTATTCATGATTGTAAATGCTGCCCTCAGCAAGTGACTTTCAACTCATGCAGAATTATTCTATGAAAAATTTACTCCAACTATAAAAGGCAGGTAGACTTACAATTCTATCAAGTTTACTACTAATTTATTTACCTATGTACTAACAACAACTTAAATGGAAAAGGCTTTCCTTAATACATGGAAAGGTGACACAATATGGAAAAAGGTGAAACAAGTTTTAGATGGCAAGTGATTTATTTTAACCTTAATATGATCTCTAATCTAAATCAGTAAATGGCCTTATAATTAGTTTTTCAAGGCTATAACATTTTTTTAAAAGCTAAGAAATACTTAAATCACAAGTAAGGACCTGCTTACTATTAAATGACAAAGTTTTTTCCCTTGAGGCGTATTTACTAGGCATAATGAAAAAGAAACACTTACTTGACTTTTGACTGATGCGTCCTCTGGGAAGAAGACTGATTTTGACAAGTTGAAATAGAAAGATTTTTACAAGTTAGTTTAGTAACTATATGTTAAAAATGCATGCAGTATTAATTTACCCAGTGCTATGGTTACTTTGATATGAAATAACTACATGAAAACTTTCTACAAAGCATGTCATCCATAATTATTAAATAATACATATCTTCACAAAAATTAGAATAGTCAGCATTTAAAAATGTTTGAGTTTCAATTTCAAAAAGGTTTTTCTTTTAAAACAAAAGCATAAAAACACAGAAAATTTCCTGAAGATATGACTGGAAAAGGTTACACATAAAATGTTCTGTTTCAAGATTCTGTAACTCTCTAAACCGAAAATAACTAACATTTAAAAAACCATTTTTAAGAATGCAGTATAGCCGTTAACAATGGCATCAGACTGCTCTCGAACAACATACGAGGGAATATTTCCATGGTGTCTTCCTGATACAACTTACTCTGCTTATGGCCTTTCTGCAACAAACATTGCCCACTGCCCGATGAGAAAACGAAGTGACTCTCAACCAATCTATGCTTCTCTAAACTATAGGTGTGCCAGTTAAGACTATAAATCTAAAGAATTTGCCCTGGGTCACTGGTGGCCTCTAAGATACCCCTAAATGAAAGGATAGAGATGGCATTTCGAGGAAAAATAGAAGTAAAACTGCCCTAGAGAGATAACGAACTGAGAAAAGGCTCATTCTGAGTCCTGTCTCAAATATATTCAGTAATAATATAATTAAGTTAAAACAAAGGATAAAAACTTCGGACTTACCACCTCGGACTGTGATCCTATTAAAAACATAAAAAGGAAACATTTTCAGATAACAGTATATGTACAGGCAAAGCTATATACATGATTTCTATGGCACAAACATACTGATTAAACAAACCAATTCTCCATATACACCTATTAAAAGAAAGTAGTTTAACTCTGCATCCTGGAGTCACTTTAGACACCTGAGTAATTTCTTACCGGTAATACCATTGTAAAACAAATCCACCCAAAACTCCCTTTCAACATACCAACTAGGCAAAAATCAAAACACCTTTGGAAATCTCAATCTAAGGGAACATGCATTACTTAAATTATAAGGTATAAAGTTCAAAACAAATTAGTTTAAATCAAAAAAAGTCAAATACTACTTCTTTTTAAATGGAAAGACCATGGGAAACTTGCATACTTACCATCCTGAGCTTCTTGACACCTTTTAATCCAGACAACGAAATCAGCATCTGCACCTAGAAAGAACAGACTGTAACGTCCCTCAACCGCACAACCTAACATATTCACTCAACAAATAATTACTGAATACCTACTATGTTCCAAACATTGTTTTAGGCACTGGGAATTCAGCAGTGAACTAGACAGACAAAAATACCTGTCCTAACAGATCTTATAGCAATCCTACTGTTACAGCTATTAATAATATTAGGTTTACTACTTAATCGTTCATCATGAAGCATTCTGATTTTTTAAAAATCAGTTTTAACCACAGTCAATCTTACTGGTTCCCAGATACAGACAGTCTACATTTTCCCTCACTCCTCTACTTTTAAAAGGGCTTCCTCTTGCACAACAAAATCAGACCTGAATCAGACTCCCAGTACACCATCAGCTAGGGTGGGGTCGAGGCCTGGTAATCAGCAACTGGGTTGAGGCCCAGAAGCTACCTGCCTGCTCTCCAATGAGCAACCCATCCTGCCTACTATTTTCCCAGCGGCTTTACTTGTTACCATGCCTTTCAATACCAATATCAAGAAGCATCTTTACACTTTGCAGAATTTTGTCGTATCTCCAAGTTTGACACTACAGATGGTGAACTATGTATTTACAGATAGCAATGTAAACATGTACATAAGCAAATTACTCATTTCTGAAGACTCAAAACATTGACAATTACCTACACAGTCGAAAGGTCTAATACAACGCTAAGAAAAATGATTAAAAGTGATCTAAATAAAAGTTTACTAATTCAAGCTAACTTCAGGTAACATTATTTTTTTAAAGATGTATAGAAATTAAGACTTTCTTAAAATGAAATTTTCTAATTCATTAATTTACAAACAAAACTCAACTATATAGGCCTTGATACACACATTCATTCTAATGGAGAACAATTATATCAAAATCTTAAACCAAGCTTCCTATTATACAAAGGGGAAAAAAAAAAGTAATATTCTGAATTATAAATTTTTAACCCTGTCAAAATGGAAGCTGAAGAGTTTAATGTAAGTTTCTCTTGGAATTAAAAAACAAATCTGACTTTAAATTAAATATCCTCATCAGCAATTTTACCAAAGAGCAGACACCCCTCTTCTGAGGCTACCTCTGAAACAATTCTAGGATAAAAGTCAATGGCATTATAATAAAATATTACTCAAAGAAGGAATTTAGGCAGGGAACTTTCTGTTGCTCTAAAAAGATAGGAAAAAGGGCTCAGAAATCTAAGATAAAATGACTCATGTCTCATCAGGGTTTTTAAATATGTATCAAGGCTCTCGATAACTGGACTCTTTAGAATTTGCATGAAGTATAGACATGCTGGCTTAGAAACTGAATAGCCACATAACTTACATACCACACTTGGGATAACCAAGTCTGAGAATAACTCCTATGGCCTAGGTCTCTTCTTTCCTAATTTGCAGGTTCCATTTGCAAAGCTGGGTTTGTCACCCTTTCTCAAGTAAGCACACAGCAGAAAAGCAAATATTCAAAGCAGTATATATTTTAAAATACAGTCATACAATACTTTTGGTATGAGGGCTTCTCAACCTCAGCACTACTGACATTTTGGACCAGACACTTCCTTGTTGTAGGGGACGGTTCTGTGCACTGCAAGCATCCCTGGCCTCTACTCACTAGATGTCAGTAGTACATCCCCCCTCTCCCCACCAATCATGATCATCCAAAATCTCTGCAGACACTGCCAAATGTCCCCCATGGAGCAAAAGCATTCCCACTGCTTTAGGGAACTGTGGTAACATTCTATCATAAGATGAAGATAAAATTATATAGTCTATAATTACCAGAGATTACTTACAACCTTTTAGTATTTTGCAGATTTTTTGATACTCAGCTCTTACAATTTCTATATACTGCACAGAGACATCCATACTGCTGTGATAATTTTCATGTTTCTCTCAAAAAGATACTAGAAACTCACAATACTCTCAAAGCTCCATGTTTCTTCTATACCCTATCATACTTTACCCAGACTTACACTTCATGTCCCAATAAAAATCTGTGTTGTAAGCAATCTGAGTAATAACTTAAACAGACTTCTGAATGTAAGAGCAAGTTAAACTCTCACTTGTCCATTAGAAAAAAATAAAGCCAGCCTAAGTACTTGGAGCACACTAAGTATTACACAGTTTTTTGCTTCTAATGATAAAGTTTAAATGCTAAGGAAAGGCCAATTTAATCAATTTTTAAGTAAACTCAAATTGTGCAATCAATACAAAATGTTATTAAGAGGAGGAAAAAAAGGTGTTGAGTTTCTGTAATTAACTTGAGATTATGCTAACAAAATTCAGCTATGATACTTAAGACATACAAATATAACAGATTAGTTTACTAACAGATAACTCCAGTACTTACCATCTAATTTCTGTCCTTCTGTAAAAGTTTCTAGAGCAGCAGCATAGTTTTTTTCATGGTATTCACATATCCTGCATGAGCATATTAAAAACAAATACCACACACACATGAGATCATGAAAAACAACCTTCTTTCTAAATAAAAAAAAAATCTAGTACTCTCTACTGTTACAAAAAAGAATTTAAGTATATGTTAATAAGCCAAGAGAGTCTCTACAGATGTTAAACTGTAACATCTAGTATAATTTCCATTAAAATCCCACTTTGGAACTCATTTCAGAAGGAATTTCTTGATTTTAATTGTATATATTTGCTTTTTTCAAAATAGTTATACTATGGAATTAAATTTCTGACTTAAAGGATAAACTCACACTTATCAACAGAAACAAGCTGGGATATAAAATACACAGATACAGAGTCTTCATGGCATTAAATGTAGCCTGCCCAGCTTGGCTGAGGAATACATGTTCTCTAGTCAGTTCAATACAGTAAATTCCAAACGATGAAACAAAAAAGGGACCTGAAATGCATCAGTTTCATCTATACCTTGCAGTCACTTTAATCATCACTGCTTTAAACATACTAAGTATATACCTCCTATCACACACTGTAGTTACTACAGAAGTATAAAATATATTAAAATGGAATTCTATCTCAGCTACAAAATGTACCAAAATAGAATTATTATTTATATAAAGCTGACAATTAATTCACTCAACAAACTAAACACCTACTATCCACAGTCCAGACCCCACAAGAGCAGTTACTGCATACCCCTTTCTCAGCATAGCAGTGGAACTATTTGGATTAAGCTCAAGAGATTTCTTTGCATCAGCAACAGCATCTGTATATGAAAAAAAAAAAGTGTTTTTTAGTCAGTTACTTATGGATTCCAACAAGTATTACACGCAAAATTTGAGTCAATCTTAGATTAAGCTTCCAAGCTGGTGAAATGGACAAATGATTTTAAATTAAGAAAATCTATACAACTGAAGTAAACATTACCTTCATACCTTCCTAATGACATAGTATTTAGCTTCCTTCTTAGAGCTCTTCAGACAACAAATAAAGCTCTGCATCATAAAGTTCATCTTTTCTCATTAACATCATTTATGTAATTTGACTCAAGGTATTTAATTTTTCCCTGTTCAGATTACCTATCCAGAATAATTTAAATTACAGAAGTAATATAGAAATACATTCTTTTTGTAAAAAAAAAAATACAAACAAGGGAATTTTCAATACTCTCTAAAACAGTAAATGTGATGCTATTCTTTGTCAACATATCCAACAACCATGAACTAAATCTGTATAAATTCTACACCCACTAAAAAGAGGACACCCATAAAATTTAAATGGGTGATGCTCAACATGATGTTTGTCACATTTCAGCTACTTTCCCTTGTATGAAAGACCAAGTTAAAAATCCTGGAAGATGATCTCTATTTTATTCAATTCATTGTATCTTGAGCAAAATTTGTAAATAACTTAGAAAGTAGGGACAATATACTTTGTAAGAAAAGTTACCAGGGTAATTCCCAAGAAGAATGTGACAATAAGCTCTTTGACAGTAATACTGTGCATCATCTGGTTTCTGTTCCAAAGCCTTAGTCAGCTCCTACAAATACAAACATGCCGAGTATCAATAAACACTACTCAAAAGCCATTGAATTCTAATTAAACATGATTTTAAATCAAATAACCTAGTATCATAAGCTATTTGGAAGATCTAACAGGGAAACAAGCTTGGAGCTTTTCTTTCCAAGATAATCAATATCCCCCCCTTCTCCTCCCTTTTCCCCTCAAAAGCCCACAATCTAATGTAATATTTATGTAAAGTACTTAGCAGTTCCTGGCCTACAGCAGGAACTCAATAAATGGTAATCATCATCACCTCATTTATTCTGAAGTTTAGTTGAAATATTATACACTAACCATCACTGATTTTTCTCCTTCTAATTTGGAGAAGGTTCAAAGATCATGCAGAATTTGAGGTGCCTAGAAAATGTGAAGCTGTCCAATTAAAAAGAAAAAACAACTGGAAGTTAAATTTAGAGCTCAGGGAGGTTAATGGAACCAATAATACATAATCAAGCTTACATGGCCCTCTCCTCTCCTTCGTCAATGGCCTAAGAAACTACAACATTCTGTCAAAAGCCAGATACAATACCTCAGAGTTAACAAGTGTCAACTGATCAAGAGTTAACAGAGAGATCAAAACTTCTGCCACTCTAGGCAGTCACAGTATGTAAGTGGTAGCTAGAAAAATAATGATGCAAGAAGAGAGAGCACGATTAGTGAGGCTAAGGACAAATGCAGGCAAACAGGAAGGCTTTGATTCCCACCCACTGCCCACACACGCTAAGGATTTGGTAGTTTTCTTAACAGGTAAAATTACTTCAATAGTCACATGTGTGTCATTGACTTCACTTGAATCTCACAGTGTGGTTCTCACAAAGCAATACTATACACTTAGTAATCATATGCCTAAAATCCATTATACTTAAAATCCAAACCACTTTTTACCATCTTCTGCCCTGTCACCAAGATCTAATGAAAATCAGATGCCAGAGATGGATTCAAGTACAGGTCTGTCAGACTCCAAATCGAATTTTAACTGCTACACTGCCTCGTTGTAAAATTTCTTTACTCCAAGTTTCTTTCACACACCACCTAATATTTGTATTAATACAATGGTATCTAATATTTTGAAATTCCCAAGCTAAAAAAACCATCTTGCACTAAACTTTCAATTTTGAAAACATCTGATAGCTTCTTACGTATATTCACATATATCTTAAAACCAAATTTCCAGTATCTCCTCAGTAAAAACAGGTATATTATGGGTTTAAAAGGCTGTTATAGATTATAATACTATCTTGATCATCAATTCAAAAAGTATTTTTAAAAGCATATTATGGAACAAACATAGGCCAGACACTGGTGGTTCAAAGATGAATAAAATATTCCTTAAAGACTCAGGAATAAACTTCGGAATTTCAAACAACCAACTTGCAAATAACCTTTGAAAACACAAACCAACTGCTGATTAAGGAGAACCAGTTATGGTGATTCAGTTAAATAAACTAAGCAACTGACTTATTAGGCTGCTAATAAAAAGTTACCCAAAAACCACTCAAAACAAACTGACACATCAACTTGTAAGTCATGAATAGAACAAAATAATGAATTTATTTTGAATGAAGAATATACAACATAATAAAAAAAAAGGGAAGTTAATTATTTGTGGCTGTCTTGACTACATCTGATTTGTGGTATGTTTTCAGCATTCTACTGTTTCTGGGACAACAGATGCTGGCTGCTAGAGGACAAAGGGACTAAAGGGAGGTATCTCAAAAGGCAAGGACTTCAGTGCCAACATTTGAATCATAGCAGCAAAAAAGCTATTTACTGCAAACTTACACAGAACATATCCAAAGATATAGTACTTCTCACATAAAATGAGTTGTGTTAGAGTCAAGCAATTTATAGTTCTCAGAAGTCAAGAAACCTGATGAACTGTAAAATATAATTGCACTGAAATCTTTACCAAGATAATGGTAAAGGAAGTACTCTGATAACAGAACAAAAGGGGGGAGACTCCTTTTTAAGGCATTAAAATCATCTAAGACTTGGATTTTAGAAAATTAATTTCCAAATTTTTTTAAGTTCTAGGCTCTTTTAAAATGCTTCCTAAAAATGGTAACTTGTTAAGATTAAAAGCAAAAGCAGACCGCTCAGGCTGACCTAATGTCTGAAGGCCTTTAGATCTGGGTATCTCAACCTGACTCCACCTTCCATTTTCCTCTAGCCACAGCTAATCCCCAGTCATGGGTAAGTAAGAATATCAAGCCATCTCCCTTCCTGAACTACCAAGCACTGCCAGAGAAAAACCACATAACCATGCAGAACTGGTACGTTTTATGCTAACCAGCTCCACTCTCAACAAAGCTATCCATGGCCAACTACTTCAAAGTCAGCTCCCAAACCTTTAATTATATCCTACACTCCCAATCCTCCTCCAGAAGATGACTTTGATGCCTTGGACCCAGAGATTTGTCACTTCTAAACTCTAAACCTTGAGTAAGTTAATCTCTTTAGCTTCAGCCTCCCTGTTAGTAAAATACACCTCAGTTGTTCCAAGAATTATCGTAGGAGTGATTTAACACATCTGAGTGCCTGCCACATCCCAGGGACTACACTGAGAACACAGTGATAAACAGATACACAAAACCCCTGCTCTCTTGAAGCTTACACTGGGGCCCAATTCAGACAGGGTAGTCAGAGAAGAGAGCTTCCTTGAAAAGGTGACAATTCAGATGAAATCTAAAATGATGAACACTTCCAAGCAAAACAAGAGATAGGTCAACAGAGAGTACATTTTAGGCAAAAGTCCAAAGGCCCTGCACCAGGATTGAGCTCGACATGTCTCAGTAACAGAAAGAGAGCCAGTATGGCTAGAATCTAGAAAGCAAAGAATCTACAAGATGCCTACCTCAGGGGCCTCACCTTTGTACCTTACATTACTTATCTGCATAATGACCCTTCAAGTGATCCTAGTTAGTCCCATTTTTCAGACAGGAAACCTGATCCAGAAGAATGATACTAGAAACTCTTACACAACTGTCCTGAAACC